AACAAAAACAGAGGATAACATCAATACCCAATCCGTAGCTCCCGATATGGAAAGTCCAACAAATGCAGAAGAATACATCTCCTGGACAATCATCCTGCAAAAGGGTGTTTAATCAACACATAGAAATTAAACAAAAAAAGATTCTGTTTTCTGCAACTAAATCGAGCAAAAGAAAATGATGATGCCTTTCACTTATCTCCAGAAGAAATAAGGACTCCCCCACAAAATCTTTAGAAAGAGCACACTTGGGTTGGGGAATCAAATGTCTTACAAAAACCTATACCATTTCCCACCTGAAAGATTCTAATCTTTCAGCCTAAATTCAGACACATCATGATGATGATAATGTAACTCTTCAAAACCTGATTAATAAGCAGGCGAGAGACAAGTCTCTTAAATAAAATCAAGGCTCTTTCCCTGCCTAGAATATCAACATTATCATGAATGGGATAAACCTTAAGATTCCCTGATAAAATAAGTGCGTTACTGACACCTTAACAACCATGAACAATATACCGAGAAACCACCACTTCCGCATTTCTATGAATGAGGAATAAAAAAAAAAAAAGAAGTTCCTTTCATTTGCTGATCACTTACAACATGCACCATACACACAAAACACCAATTAAAACACAGGAAAACCACCATGTATGGAAACTAAAGCAGAATACAGTACACATTCTCTGTATCATTCCATAGAATAAGGTGCCCAAGCCAATCAGATCACCAAATTACTATCCTCTAAAAAAACTCCAATACCAATTTATTACAAATGAATAAATCAGGAAGTTAAAAGCTCACCATCCAAGCACTGGACCGGACAGCAATCGAGCGAAAGAAATAAAATTAGGAATATTCAAGTAACTCTCTCGGATCCCGCCACCGCCAACACCACCATCAAGATCATCCCGTTTCGTAAACTCCTCTCTACCATTCCCCTGAAACAGCAGCCTTGCATCGTACCCGAGATTGTAAGGAAAGGCTAGCCGGTGAAGTAAATTTAGAGCAGGGAGCTTGAGCAAGCTCGGTACGACGTCGGACTGGACGAGGAACGGGGCGACTGACTGGGAGAGCCTCCAGGGAGGATCGTACAGGAATTGCGGGCCGCGCACCGGCGAGATAAACCTCGATCGGAAGAGAAAATGCCGGCGAATGTGACTGCTGATTGGTCGCCGAAAAGGAGGAGCTTGAGTTGGGGAAGGAGATGAGTTGCCGAGGGAGAAGAGAGCGCTGGAAGGAGTGGAACTGGAGTTTTTTCTCCGGGATTGAGAAGCTAGGGTTTTGAGTGATCTGAAGAAGGCCATTAACGACGACGTTTATGCATTGTTGAGGAAGTTTGAGCTTCGCATTTTGGAGGTCTGCTGGGGTTTTGGGGGTGACTCGGGGACGGAAAATCGGAGGTGAAGCCGGACCAGTGGAAATATAGGCTTGTAAATTGAAAATAAATGGTGAAAGTAAATAAAGGGTTCAATTTTAAATATAATGGTATGATGAAATTGAATTTAATACAAATAAAATGAATTAACAAAATTGAATAATTGTTAAAAATGATTTTTTTTTTTTTTTTTAAATGCATTTGGTATGATTAACTAGTTCGGATAAATGAACTTAAAGGTCGATAGAAGGTCGGTCTCCAGAGTAATCAGACTCAAATTAGGGTTCTCAAATAACTGAATTATGCTCGACCTAATATTTTCACAATGAGATATAGTTCACTGTGTGAGATCTAAGAGGAGCGTAGAATCATTGAATATTGAAGTCTTTTAAGAAAAAAAGGTCCATATACTATAGGAATGCAATATTTTGAAAGGATCTCACCCGAATTTGGTGTAGTGTAATTTCAAATGTAAACTTAGTTTTGAGAGTGAGAAAGCCATAACATGTGGCTTGAAAATATTTTTAGTGCGTCGAGCTCGACCTGAGCGGAGAACAAGCTGTCTAAAGTAGAGGATCGCTTAGATAGAGCAGCTGGACGAACTCACTATTAGACGACCTATAGATTAATGACCTGAGGCCATGAAGGTGACTTGATCCCTAAGTGACCAAAGGGTCTCATGAAGAAGGGATTAAGTAATTAGTATTTTTATTATTAATACCAATAATATATTTGGTAGGATATCTTGATTGTTTAAAGTCATTGTCTTGTTGAATAAGGTAGGAATATAAGGCTTTGAGCAGTCTTATTGAAGGACTCGTCTTCTTTTGTTCTAGGCAGTTGATTATTGAACAAGAAAATTACGTATTCGAGAGAGATTTCTCTTTTTTTATTTCTCATTTGTACGTTGCGCTACATCAGTTGGTATCAGTGACCAACCACAATCAACGATGCCGACGGGAAGACATGATGCTGCAGACGACAAATGTGACACCGCCATCTGCAACCTGAGCCGACATGCCGAGGGATTTGGCCACCAGTTCGAGATGATGGGTTATAAGATTGCGGATCTGTCCGCAAGGATCAGGAACATAAGACTGGCTCCCCAAACCATCGTTCAGGGCGAGCAAACGAACCGCGACATGGCCAGCCGAGGCGGTCGCAGGGGAGTCTGAGGTAGGCGTGGCGAACGAGGCCTTGGTGGGGCGCCCCGCCAGCGTTCACCACCACCATCACTGCACGACGCTGAGGATGACGAGGACATATAGTCGGAGGTGAACCAATATGGTGTTCGCTTGGCTCAACAGGATGTTACAGAAATGATCTACATTTTCGCAACCCTCGATAGGAGGCCGAAGGTTTCGGCGGTCCCCAGTATCACGACCATTTTCGAACAGACAAGGGTTTCGGTGATCCACAATTTTGCGAACCTCTACGGGTGGCCGCGGGTTTCGACAACCACTATTGGGAGTCCGTGTTTTGCGTGGATGTCCCAGAGTTCTCCGGTGGGTTGAATGCGACTGACTTCCTCGACTGGTTGGCCACCGTCGAGTCCATTCTCGAGTACAAAGATGTCTCGGACGATCGTCGAGTGGCGCTCGTCGCGACACGGCTGCGTGGTCTGGCGGGCGAGTGATGACTGCAATTCAAAGGCGCGCGAGTCTCTACATGATCTACGTTCTGTAAGCATCTCGAACGCGAATTCTCGCCATTTAATTTTATTCGTACTACGTAGCGGTTACTCAATCTGTGGCAAGGTTCGCGCTCGATTGATGAATACACAAAGGAGTTTTATAAACTCCTCACACATGTTGATGTTCGCGAAACCAGAAACCAAATTGTTTCACGTCACATTGGTGGGTTACATGTCTTCAGGACACGCTGAATTTGTTTATCCCGGATACGATCTTGGATGCACATCAAAGGGCGTTATTGGTGGAACAATAGCAGTCCCAGAGGGCGACCTATTATTTTGCGTCGTCTACGCATCAGCCTAGAGGGACGGCGGGGGCTGCAGTATCTGCATCATCTACAATGAATATTCGGTCTGGTTCAGGGGCAACGAGTTCAGGGTCTGCAGCTGTTTGCCATGTGGTTGGTTCCGCAGTTGGGGACAATTATCGTCAGCTTTACGCACTGCACTACTTCACCTGCAGTGAATTGGGGCATCGTCAGGCACAATGTTCGAGGACGATTGGGTTGCGGGATTTATTTGTCGAAGAGCTGGAGTCGGGCAATTATACGTGACCTCCCATTTTCGATGTCGAGCTTGAGGTTCCATAGGACCATGTCTCTTGGTACGTGGGTCATGCGTTTTTCCTTCGTTGGTCTATTTTATCTCCCCACCTCTTGCCCGATGTTACCAGTGAACGCCATCATACCTTTGAGTCCACATGCACGTTTGAGGGATGTGTGTGTCGTTTTATGATCGACTATGGCGCCTGCAAAAATGTGGTGGCATTGGAGGCCATCGAGAAGATTACATTTGTCCAGTTAAACTTAACCTTTTTCCATACACACTTGCATGGATTCAGCAAGAGAGTTCGGTAATGGTGGATCGTCATGTTTTTTTGCTTTTTCAATCGGTACTATGTAGACAGTTGTGGTCTGGTGTGACGTCGTGCCTATGGACGCCTGTCATCTTCTTTTGGGGCATCTGTGGCAGTGTAACCGCGTTGTGGTTTCACGATGGTCGTCTCAATACTCATGGCTCTGTATTTGACGGCGTTCGCATAATTCTACATCCATCACAGCCTCGCTGATTACTTTATCATCGCCGTCTATGTGTTATTCCTTTTTCGCACTGCGTTGGTCCACAAAATTCGTGAGGCTCTTGGATGATCAAGACGGGATTCGGCCTGATTGGAGGGCGAATTCTTCTTAACCAATGGAGGATGATGAAGACAAGATTAAATAATTAGTATCAATATTTGGTAGAATATTTTATTATTCAAAGTTATCGTCTTGTTGGACAAGCTAGGAATATAAGGCTTTGAGGAGTCTTATTTAAGGACTCATTTTATTGTGTTCTAGGCATTTGATTATTGAATAAGAAAATTACATATTCGAGAGAAATTTCTCTTCTCTTATTTCCTATTTGCACGCTGCGCTACATCAGGGTCTCTATCTGAAAATATCGGACGACCTAAGCACCTAAGGACCTAACACAACTGGACCTCAACTACCACAGAATCTGATAGACGACATGTGGAGAAGATCATGACCTAAATTGGTAGGAGACCAGGATAAGGAGGAATCTTAAGAGGATTATAACTAATCTAAAGGTCACTAGCGGGTGTTTAGTATATGGATAAACATCAAGTATTGACAGTCGGGCAGGCTGCCCATGAGCAGTCGGGCAGAGCATTTCAGGCAGGTATTTCCCTATAAAAGGAACTGAGCCATTACCAAACTCTAACTTTACATTCTTCATACATTATGTACTGCTATGAGATTACAGAGTATCATCATCTTCATTTTGCTGACGTAAGCATTGAAGGCTCTACGCTGGAATCACCTCCGGATTTGAGCTCTTGTAGGTTTACGCTCGGCGGTTCATGCAGATCGAAACTTTTCTCAGCTGGTTCTACCTAGACCTAGGTAGAGACCCATTAGAGAGAGAGCTTATCTATTCTATATAAAATACTTTCCACACATGTATGAAAACCTAATCGTATTATTATTGTTTCGTATTATTATTGTTCTCACTTGCGCAGCTGCATGAAGAGCCCTTTTTTGTGCACGTAACTAACTTGAGCATCGGGAGTGTCTACACCGAGACCCTCTCCCAGTACTTTGTAGGTATCAAAGGCCGATTTTTGAACACCAAACCGACAAGCGTTGTGCAGAGTGCATCACCTTACATAAAATCTAGCTCATGAATTTGCTTTTTATGTCTTAGACATGTTGCAATGAGTTCCCATAAAACTTGAGAGAAGGAACGGTTCAAGAACCAAAATATTATGTCAATGATCTAACCAACTTCCAACGAAGAACGAATTTTACAAAAGTCGGATATACAATGATCATAAGATAAGGAAGAAATTTCCCATTTAAGTTAGCTCTGAAGTTATCATGAGTAGGTTAAAAAATTATGGTTTGTTTGGATTTTAAGCTACTTAAACTATCATGATCACACTAAACAATGAACCCTCCATTATCAAAATGATATTGATAGCTGTACTAAATACTAACAGGCTAGCAAAATAATCCAACTTTTGATAAAATTAGGGAGTGTTAGAAGAAAAACAGTAAAAAAAATTTCCTATCTCCTTCATAACACACTAAAAAAATCATTACCATAGAATGCAGCAAAAATTCCAGGTTGTGATTGAACACAAAAAAAATAATTTAATTTGTTGACACTAAAATCACAAATAATAATTTCATTCGACATCGTATCTCATTGACTCAGCTCTAAGATTCAGATAACCAAATCCAGGGATTTCGTCGAGCCCCTGCCGATCTTCATTCTCCACCATAGAACACATACCGGCTCGATTTCCGCTGTTTCTTCTCTTCTTCCTTTTCCATGAGAACAGGAAAAACCTGAAGCTGGGCCAAGAATGCTGCTTTTCGGTAGCCATTTCTTGTGATCTTCTTTCGAAATCCATGCAGCTGTCTACACGCTCCAATTCGAGTCCCTTGAAGTACTCAATCTCTCGCTTGAGAAGTGATCCTACTGTGCCGCGTGTCCCGATTTCCAATGGAATCTTTCCGGACATGCTGAGATCATGCGGTTTAGCGGGTTTGGAGTTATGTTTTTTTTCAGCATATATCTATATGTTATGATGATTGGTGTGGCGTTTAACTTCAAGGTGAAGAGAAACTATGGGTTGATGGATATATTGTTTTCTGTTTGGGTGCAGTGGCTTTGAGGCCTTGTTCATTCTTGCCTTTTAAAGTGTACTTAAATCTGATCTTGTTTAAATTACTGTAAAGTGAAGAGAGCGTGAGGTTTTGCATGATTGTACCTATCCTCATGGAAATGTGGCTAATCATCTCTGTCTGGAAAACAAGCACCAAATAGTTGGTGTACCTCTTCATGTTTTTTTTTTTTTTTTT